ATTATTCAGCGATATACATAACACTTATAGCAACCTGGTCAGACTGGGAGATTGGGTGTCCGGGCTCTGGGGCTTAGATGAGTTCATTTGGATCTAAGTCTCGCTTTTCCACTATTAATTCGTCATTTAAAAGTGATACGATGTTCAAAAGTGTGATCAAAGTGAGCTCGACTAAGTTTAATGGCTCCAAAAGTCATAGCGATCCATTAGCTATTAATCGATGTGGACAGCCAAGTCGAGTTGGTAACATCAGAAGAACACACGAAGCAAAAGAGACCTTTGTACACGTCAGCCCAGAAAAACCAAAAAGGAAAGCTAAGATAAATTGGCAAGCCACTTACAGCAATGACAGCAATGAGAGAAGCTTGATAGTAATATCCAACTACTGTCACTGCATCATTCTGATGAAATATAGACAGAAAGGTTGAAAGCATAGAGTTTATAATATACAATATAGGGCTGCACAGATTTTGCTTAAATTACAGACAATAGAACAAAATAAGATAGATAGAAAAGAAGGAACAAGAACATAAGATAGAGAGCAATTACAAACTTGGGGGAAAATTTGAGATAAGTGGCTAGAATGCTCGGATCATCTGAGTAAGGAGGGCCTGCTCTTGCAGAATTTGTGTATTTTGGACAATTATGAGAAGAGCAAAAAAATACAAGAAAAAAGTAATGAGCAAGGGCAAGCACTTTTCATTCCATTATCTGTCCATCATGTAAGACAGCAAAGAGTAAGAAACATTGACATTTAAGGAAAGAAGTGGAACAATACCTGAGGGATATGTATAGCGACCGAAGCAGAGTCGAGGGAATTTAAGGTAGTCCTATCCTCAGATTTATAAAATTAGCAGTTAAGTAATCAAAAATACTCATTAAAGTGTCTCTGAATCCACAAAGTTATGTAAATTTATCCACAGTATTTCTTTAAAGTTAAAGATTAGAGTTAATCACATAATATAGGGAAAATTGTCAAATCTCCAATATTTATGCAGAAAAAGCGAACTGGAATATCAGCAATGCATTTTCTAATTACAAATTGATCAACAAATATATTCAAGGTTAAAAAACAATAAGTATCCAGGTATTCAGAAAAATTGTGATTTTTTTTACTTATTTGGTACTTTTTGTCTTCTATTTCCGTCATGCATTTTATAATACATAGTGTAAAAGGGTTTTGCTATCATTACAAGACACCACAAATCACTATCTAAGGCTGGATTCAAAAAATCTTATTTCTCTAAAATTGTATTAATTTTTTTTCCTTTTATGGGCACAAATGTCAACTTTTATAAGACCTTTTCTAAGACTTCCAAAAACTTTGAATCTTATAAAGATGAATAAAATGAAAATTGTTGCATGAAAAAATTTCCTTTTCAAGCTTCATTACGATGCATTTTAATTTAGATACCAGGTATTAATTTTTGGGGTTATCCTTCCTGGCTGAGGATCGGATATCCTTAAGTCAAAGTGAAAAGCTGGTTCAACCTTATTAGCAAGATCAGTTGTTTGATGAATCAATATCAAAGCTATAAGAAGAAAAAAATGTCATAAGGAAGGCTGGAGCAGCACTGCACTGAGTTTTACTCATTCTATCCTCTTTGTTCTTTGAGCACAGAAGTCCTTCACCGACGATTAATATTTAGTCCATTTTGTCTGATTTACTTGACTAGGTCATCAGTTTTGCTTTGCATTTGCAAAGTCAAGATCCTCTAGTGATTGTTGAAATGTCCAAGATATTCCTTAATTAGCTTGACTGGTAGTGATTTTCATAACCCAGTCTATGCAGAATGTAAAGAGCAATGGTGAAAGCAGATCGAATTCCCATCGTACCCCCAGTTGGATTTGGAGGCTGTCTTAAGTTTAAGGGCAAAATAAAATTCTTAGCATAGCCAAGGTTGACAAAACATATATGAAAACATGTGAAAGGCGTGTAGTGAATAGGAAGAGTTAGTACTAAGCTGGGAGAGCCTTCATCACAAATGAGAAAATTCAGTACTTTATCACTGATGAACATTGGAAAAAATATCTTTTATTCTTTTATCTACAAAATACACATACCAGATAAGATATGGATTAAACATTAGGGTAGCTTCGACAGACTGTAGTTACGGTCCACCATTTATGCCTTCACCCCACCATGGCAACACGTGGATGTTAGAATCATCATCACAGACTTAAGAGATAAGTAATTATGTTCTCTGCTGCCATGAACACGATAGTCAAGTCAGTGTAAAAGATTCATAGATGAAAGTAAGCAGGAGACAATTCCCTGTCATAGCATTCATATTTGATATGATAGTCACCACGTCTGGACATAAACAAGGATGGAAATCCAAGTAGTTCTGGGCTAGACTTTATAATTTCATTTTTCATTTTGCCTCTTGATGTTATGCTGGACAGCTCTTCACACTCAAGAGGGAAATATGAGAAGGAGTTTATATTCTCAATTTTAAATTTTGATCCAATTGTGTTTTCTACGCCTATTGCCAATGACCATAATATGAACAATTTTAATATGAAGATGCTTGCGCCTTAAAGTGATTAGTGTTGGTCTCTTGTTCTTAAAGATAAGAGAATGAAGCATGATTATGGAGATAACGAACAGTATTTAAGACCAAAAGTCCATAAGACAATACAAAATAGGAGCAGAGCAAACAGGACCTCCAAAATCAGAGATAGGGATCGGGTGCCATGGAGGAGTGAGCATCCGACCAGTCACAGTCGCGCCCTGTGCTCCTTCTCATGATCGGGATATAACGGGAAAATCCGTCATCAATTCTATGTTTAAATAATGGACTAACAATTAATATGAAAAACGTCAGTCAGCATTTGACTCAATGATAAATTGTATTTGCTGACATGGTCATTGTATCGACCAAAGAACTTACGAAATGATGACTTTAAACGAAACTGCTGATATTCTTGTTTTATCAACTTGTTTGTCAATGATTTAACTCGTTTTAGAAATTTTTCATGCGTAGAGCATGCTCTTGCGTATTGAATCAACTGAGATATATAAACTCCGTATGCAGGTGATGAATGTTTATTGCTGCATAAGTAAGGGAAGCTGACGATAAAAAATTAAAGTCATCAAATGCTGACTGACGTTTTTCATATCAATTGTTAGTACATTATTTAACCACTCAATTGACGACGGATTTTTTTTTCCCATTATTTCCCGATTGTGACAAGGAGCACACGGCGGGTGTGAACGGTGGGCAGGGGTACTCACTCCTCGATGGCACCTGATCCTAATCTCTGATGTTTTTGGAGGTCCGTGTTTGCTCTGCTCCTATTTAATTGTATTTTTATGGACTTTTGATCTTGAATACTGATCGTTAACTCCATATACTAATATTTCATTCACTAGTTTTTTTATCATCTCCCAGTGAATAAGTGTGCCTTTTTCTTTGCACAAATTTGAATCTGAATTCTCTCTACCTAATTCTGCTTTGTAAGTTTGGTTGAAATTTTGCCAGTGGTTCAATAGAAGTCAAAAATGTGTAAAGCAAGCAGCATCTTTGCAAGTTTAGTTCACAAGTCGCATAATGATTTTTTTTCTATCAAGTACGAAGTACATGTACTTTTACTTAGGAACAGTAAGTACCGTTGATTTGGAAAGTAAGAAAATACAATACATGTATATCACTATTCTTTACCTATAAATAGTAATTTAACAGATTGATTTAATTTGTTAAAATGGATCTTTCTGCAAGGCCTAATTGAAGGAAGATAACTCTTACTGTACCAATCAAATACATGATCCATTCCAAAAATGCCAAAATTTTCAGAGAAATCCATGTTTCTTTTTCATGCAGCAAATGAGCCGAGATCCCTCAATACACTATTAAAAGGCCCAGGCCCACATCACTCACCAGAGCACTTTGGCTGGGAAAAAGCAGAAATCAGATCAGTATTGAAAAGTTTAAATTTTGAAAGTTGTTCAGAGAATGGGGTTATAATTTGAACAACTTGGATAAACACTTACTGAGGATGCTTTAAATTAAAATGATACATAATGCCTTTGCTTTTCTAAAAAAAAATTATTGATATATCTTTATATTCCTTTGTATAACTATGATCCCCTGTTATGGCCCCTCTTTTCTCCTTGGGGGGGGGGGGATTATTTGAACTAACATGTACTTGTATCTACACTATTGAGGTGCTTTCATTTAAACGTGATCAATCATGGCCTGCAGTTCTTGAGAAGAATATTTTTATATTACCTTGATCCTTCATTTTGTAGGGGTGAAACGATATTTGAATCTACACTACCAGAGAATGATTCCAAATGAGTTTCATCTTTCCTGGCGCAAAGTTTCTTGAGATTAGATTCTTAAATTATGCCATTAATTCATAATATTTGAACAGCAAAACTTGTTCAGTATGAACAGGGATATTGCAAATTCACGGATATAGCAAAGTTTTCTTGGATCCCCAGCTTTATAAATTGACTAATTCCTTATATGGATATAATGAATTACAAATTTAGCGAAGTAATTTCATAGTGCCCAGTGACTTCGTTATAACCATGTTTTACTGTTTAATTATATCCTCTTGTGATTACTAGTATGCCTCCTTGGAAGAGGGCATGGCCCTTTATTTGAACAAACTTGAATCGATCCCCTTCACCCAAGGACAATTCTGTGCCAAGTTTGGTTGAAACTGCACAGTTCTGAAGAAGCTGATATTGTTTACAACGACAACAACAAACAACATACAAATTTTGATTGTAAAGTTCACTTTGGTCTTTGGCTCAGGTGAACTAAAAACTGTTTTCTGGACAAAAAGATTATAATAGCGAATAAAGTAAACAGATATACCTTCAGGGGAAAATGTTCAAAGGCCATATCTCTGTGACATAATGATGAACAAAGTCATAATTTATTTAACTGGGAAGTGTAAATCAAAGAAAATCTAAATGTTCAATTTCTTTATCGTCGTCTTACTTATGAAATGTTTAAAAGTTCTAAGCAAAAACAGAAAACAAATCATTTGATACTCTAGTAGTCTTTATTATTTACTAATGTAGCTCCACACATCAGATTGATATACTTTTACCTTGTTTAATGTCAACTCAGCTTTTAAAAGCACTGGTACATTGTACAAGTTTCTAATAAACAGAAAATATCAAATATTTCCTGTTCAAAGTGACAATGAATAGAAACTTCATCATTTTGTGATAGTGTCCCTGAAACAATTAACTGAGTAAAATAAATTTTCAACATAATTCTTAATATAGCATCTTAGAGAAATACATATACCATGTAAATATGAGTTTGATTACTAGTATGCGTTAAATGACTTAGAGAAAATAAACAAAACAAATAAACAAAAATAGGCACTGATCTCCGTTCATCAAATAAACACAGCATGTATTGCGTCCAAGAGTTATGATTCCTGTCCTATAACTATGTACTTATAGACTCGGATCTAGATTAACATAAAGTATTCAAGTTTATTTACACTGTATATTGTTGAGGGTCTATTCTGCACTTTTCAAAAATGAAAATTAAGTTAAAAGGTCCATTAGGGCCTTAACTGTCTAAATGTTGTGAGTTTCTCAAGTTCTGATCACTTGGAGCCCACTTAGAAATCCTTTGCCCAACTGAGGATAGGAAGAAAAGGACAAAAATAAAATGGGGCAAAAATATCCCTGTATACAGTAATTTAGCCCCACTCTGTGGTCTGGATGTTGGACCTAAGAGGCATCAATTCCATAATTTTGCTTAATAGGGTTAACTACTCATCATAATCATGCAAACAGCTCTCTGATACATTTTCCTGAGTAACAAAGACTTTCTAATTTGCAATTTTCTTAGAAATATGGACCAATGCAACTTAGACCTACCTTGGAGCTGGAACCTTGGAGACAGATATAAATATTACAGCACTGCCAAAGAATTAATTAATTTTAAAATTCCAGCAGAAGTGATTTAATATAACCATGCAATTACTTTCATTGGTTGGCTAAATCAATCAGAGAAGATGCTAAAAATGTTTAGATCTGTACTGACAATGGACAAGAACAGATAGCAATGGGACTCAGGGGACCTATAAATTGTGGTGTTGAAAAAAGATTGCTAAGATTGAAAAAAATTTTAATTACCCATATACTGCTAATTAAAACACTTGAATGCATTCTTTTCTCTCTGTTTTTCTCTCTATCTGCACGAGTTAATCATTTAGTAAAAATAATTAAACCATTGGAATTTTCAGGTGCTATGGTGTTTTTTTTTGACAAGTTCAGGTGAATTTTTTGTACCAATAGCATGAACATTGACTACTAAAATTTATGATAAATGGATAACTGCTTAATATCCAACTTAGGGATCAACATTTCTCAACAAGCATAACAATGAATTTACACTTCAAATGTAAAACTCATCTCACATAAATAAAACAACCCATCTCTCTAGACAGCAAGCCAGTTCTAACTGTCATCACAGAAGTCTTTAAACTGTCTTAATAACACTGTCATAACCAACTCCTCTGGGTCTACATATCCTGTGATAAGTTAATCTCATTAAAATATACACACAGCTTTGTACATTTTAAGGCAACAGTTACTCCCCTTTAACTGATCAGCTGTCATGGCTGATGTGTTCCTCTATACCCTCACTCTCAGTCACCAGAGCCCTCTCCAGGATCACGCGACCTTCTTTGTATCTCTGATTGTCCTCTGTGGCAAACTCGTACACCCAGCCAAGCTTGGCGTCACAGTTCTTACAGGATACATCTCGGACCATGTGTCGACCCGTCAACATGACGCGGTCCTGTATTTCGCTGTAGTTTAAGTTAACCACTTTATTGAAAAGGAAGGCTCTTCCTGTTGCTCCTAGATTAAAGAAAGAAATAAACTTTTTTGAAGAATGCATTTATTGCACTTTATCTAAAAGGAAAAACTTAAATGAAAACTGAATTAACCTTTCTTTCCACATATTGCTCTTTATATTTGACTATATTTAAATTAATAGCTGGAACATGAGCTATATCACTTTCATTGCTCTGACACGTCCATGCATATGATTAATTACTGTCAGAGCTCATCATAATTATTTAAAAATACAACAGATCATGTACCTGTGAATCTTGTTGAAATCAGCTCTGCTCTGTTTGTTAGAGGTGTATCACAACTAGCACAGGAGAATAGCCTGGTCCCTCCTATGTGTCTCAAAAATATTCTTCCCATGGCTGTCTATTAAAAGATTTTTCAATTTACTTAAAGTTTAACATTGTTTGCATCATCATATGATGATGAGAGAAGTGGATTTGCATGGATCACTTCATTTCAGATGTACATGTACTGATGTAGTCAAATTCATGTCCAAACTGTCATATTCATTTAGTTCCATACTTATTTTAAAACCATTTAATTTTATTCTGAATAGTTAACATGCAAAAATTCATTTGTTTGGATCTGTGGCAGTCAGCCGGGTTTGATCACCGGTGTCCAGATAGTTCAGTTGGTAGCTAGAGCACCTGACCAAAGATTCAGGGGGCCCGGGTTAAAATCTCGGTCTGGTCTGCTGCATTTTATCCTCTCCCGCTACATTTGGTGCCACATGTTATGCCCTGGAACTGACAGGTGAGAGGCCTGCCAGTGATGAGTCTAGGTTGGGGTCTTTGGAGGGCCAAAGACTTTTAAGGAGGGAGGAATGTGGCGGTCATGCAGCCGGATTAGATTGCCATTTTGGCCAGATAGCTCAGTTGGTAAAGCACCTGACCGGAGATTCAGGGGGCCCAGGTTCGAATCCTGGTCTGGTCCGCTGCATTTTCTCCTCTCCCACAACAGATCAATATATTACATATTATTTGATGATGCCATAATAATTATATTTTCATGTCATATATTTTGCATTTGTTAAAGCTTCGTCTATCAAATTTTCTACTTTAAGCAGAGACCTATTAATTTAAATATGATTTCTTAAAAATCTGGCCTTTCAGATGTCATTAGTGTTTATGATATAATGAAAATAGTACAAAGCCTAACTTTGGACTTTAATACAATGTACATGTACTATCAATTTGACAACAACACCCCCCCCCCATTTTGCCAACTTCCTGTCCTTGTCCTACATATCATGTCAAATACCTATGATATAATTATATTGTGTGTTTTTTCTTTGATAATTTTTTACTAAACCAACAACCAAAACAAATAAGCCTGATAAGTAAAATTCATTTCTATTTTTATCCTTTCCTTTTATAGATGATGACAACAAAACACTTGATGATTATCAATGATTATACGAATATAATCAGGACAAACGTCGCCATTTAGCTAATATTTACAAAGTAATTTATCGAAAATGACATACTCTTGCTTTATATGTTGAAAAAATCTGGAAACCCTGAAACAGTTCTGTTCTTCGTCTTTAGTTTCCTTGGGTGTCAGCTGTGCTAAAATGAAAACATTACTATTTCTACGTTGCGGTCACGTGTTCAAAATAGACAGCGATTCTCTAGTTTTATCATATGAAAAACATGAAAGGTATAGAAAGCTTACGAATAAATTTTGCGGGAAGTGGGGTTGGGTTCTGTGAGGTCATCGACTTGCGCAATAAGGAGGTTGGGTTCTCATTTCCGGTATCACAAACTCGACAGACGGTGTGTCAAAAAGGAAAGTTGGAAAACTGATTGTATAGTGAAACCAAAACTACAAGATGCTGCGGTGGTTGACGGGCGACGAAAAACGTCGCAAGGAACCCGAGTTCTTTGAAACAGTAGGCGAAGGACTTAAAAAGCTGTACAAGACGAAGCTGTTACCTCTGGAAGAGCATTACAAATTTCACGACTTTCACTCCCCTCAGCTCGAAGATCCGGATTTTGAAGCAAAGCCCATGATTCTCCTGATCGGACAGTATTCTACAGGAAAAACAACATTTATCAGGTATTTGCTGGAACAGGATTTTCCAGGTATTCGAATCGGTCCTGAACCAACAACTGACAGATTCATTGCTGTGATGAATGGGGACCAAGAGGGGGTCATTCCTGGAAATGCCTTAGTAGTGGACACTAAAAAACAGTTCAGACCACTTTCAAAATTTGGAAATGCTTTCCTGAACCGATTTCAGTGCTCTATGGTAAACAATCCAGTTTTAGACAGTATATCGATCATTGACACTCCAGGAATCCTTTCTGGTGAAAAGCAAAGGGTGGACAGAGGATATGATTTTGCAGGGGTACTCGAATGGTTTGCGGAACGAGTTGACAGAATTATTCTTCTGTTTGATGCACATAAATTGGACATTTCAGATGAATTCCGAAGGGCTATTGATGCCATTAAGGGTTATGATGACAAAATCCGAATTGTTCTGAACAAGGCTGATATGGTGGATCATCAGCAGTTAATGAGAGTGTATGGAGCTCTAATGTGGTCTTTAGGGAAAGTGCTAAATACACCAGAAGTAGCCAGAGTATACATAGGATCTTTTTGGGACAATCCATTACATTTTGATATGAATAGAAAACTATTTGAGTTAGAAGAGCAAGATTTGTTCCATGATCTTCAGAGCTTGCCACGTAATGCTGCGCTACGGAAGCTGAATGATCTTATAAAGAGAGCTAGACTAGCAAAGGTAATAATGATTTTATGGGGGGTTTTCTAACTAAATTTATCACAAAATATGATTCTTGAGAAATTGTTCCAATTCTTTGATTACATTCATATTGGCAGGGTTTGACAATAGTCCATTAGTCTTACTAATAGACTAATAAATTTGCATTTAAACTAATAAAATATGTGGCCAGTTAGTCTGCGCAGACCAATAAAACTTTCAGAAAAAAAGAGTAAAAAATTGATGTTTCTTTGGACAGACTCATCAATTCCCATGCCGCATTGCAGACTAGTAAAAGTAAAGAAACATTAGTCCGTCCAGACTTATTTCATCGACGGAAACCCACGGGTGATCTCGTCTTTACTTATCACGATAAGTATAGACGAGATCACCCGTGGGTTTCCGACGATGGACTTATTTAAGCCTAAAAATTTTGTTGTTGAACCCTGCTTTGGGGGAGTTCAAAATGTGTCATTTAACTTAACATGCTTAATATTAAGGTTAATATACATTGTATATCTAAGGATTAATGCTTGGAAAAAAAACTACTAAATATTTAAATAGTTTTAGGATGCGGGTATCATAAGCCCCCAAAATACTTGTTGTTGTCCCCCGCTTGAAAAGTGGGGGATATTAATTTGGGTCTGTCCATCCGTCCATCCGTCTTTCTGTCTGTCTGTAACGCTTTTGTTTCCACACGATATCTCGAGAACTCTTTGAGCTTTCACAATGAAAATTTGCATAGCAACTCCCTATAAACTAAAGAAGAACCCTATTGATTTTGAAGTCAAACGGTTAAAGGTCAAGGTCATAAATGCGCAAATTCTGTCTGTTATAACACTTTCGTTTCCACGCGATATCTCGAGAACCGTTTGAGCTTTTGCAATGAAATTTTACATAGCAACTCCCTGTGGCCTAAGGAAGATCCCTATAGATTTTGAGGTCAAAAGGTCAAAGTTCAAGGTCATAAATTTATACATTCTGTCTGTATGAAACACTATCATTTCAAGAAGATTTTGAGCTTTTGCATTGTAATTTTATATCAAAACTCCCTAAGACCTCTCTCAGTCCTTTCAAAGTGTCCCGCCCCGTTTGTTTTATTAGTATTTATTGTATTACATGTCGCTATTTTTAACACGGGCATGAGGAGAGTCATTACGTATAAAACAGGTTCTCGGTGGACTTAATATTCTCATTACATCTATTAGAACAGTTTAATAAAGGTTAAATTAGACACCATGCATTGTGTAAAATTTTGACAATATCGAACGTGAATATATACATCTATGTGACTTCATATTTGCATATCATTCTCGCTAAGGCCATAATAAATAAATTGCTTGATTCTCATCCGAATCTTTTCAAAAATCGAGGCAGGCGGGCGGCTTTTATTTTATATTTTATATTTTTTCAATTCTGCAGATTTTTTATTGACCTGGTCAATCGGTGTAATTTTATCTACAATACCCGAATAAAAGTCATAGTAAAGGTTCAATTATCTCTTACTTCTCATCATCATCAATCTTTTTCAACCAATGACCCTTGTTTAACATATATACGCATGTATTACAGCAATTACCATCCTTTCAGCTGTCAAAATCATGTCAACTTTCAACTTTCGCGGGATTTAAAACGAAAGTAGAATTTTATGGCCATGATATGAACCTGATCCCGATCAAAATTAAGACAAAGGAAAACAGAAATAACAAAAATCGAGGCGGGGGTAAAAAATCGGGGCGGGCGGGGATGAGAATCTAGGAATATTTTTATTATGGCCTAAGTTAAAGAGGCTCCGTGGTCTAGTGGTATGTCTCTCACTTCACATGAGAGAGGTCCCGGGTTTGCGTCGCGGACGATTCATTTCCTTTTTTTTCGAAATACTTTTTTTTTTTTACTAAATGATAGTATTAAGCATGTGAAATGAAAATTTTTTTAGGTCTGGCTTGTACAAACTCATAAAATCATCATTACAGTGTGATAAATATTCCATACAAAAAGAAAATTCTATACACATAATAAAGAATACACAATCAAACCTTTATATCCATATTGGCATATTTTATTTGCTTCAGTATACATGATTGTATACATTTAGTAATTCTACAAATTCAGTCAAGGGGATCCGAATCCCCCCCCCCTGAACGCCATCCCACAAATTCTCTGAAACTTGTTTGACATTGATATGGTTAATACTTTTTCATCAATTTAAGATGGGAGACAAAATCAAATTCTGACATAGTGAAGGAATTAAGCTTAATATTGTTTGTGACATTGATATTGATAAATTTTGTATTTAATACATTAATAAGTATGCATCAATTTAAGATAATTGATTCAAAATCAGCCTTGCTTGTGCTGTTATGTTTCTGTTACAGAGGAAACTCCCTATTCTCATGTTCTCAGTCAAATTAATGACCAGTCCATGTAGACACAAGCATTATTATACAGTTTAAACTAGAGTTAGCCTCAAGACATTGAGGGATGAGGTAGTGCTTCAAATCTTCCATCTGAATTTATACAAGCTGGAAACACACTAGAGGCTGTAATTATTTTTTTTCCTTCAAACATAAACTATTTACACTTTCTCATATATATACTAAACTGTTAGAAAAAGAAGTCATGAAAAAGAATAGAACTTCCCATTAATATTTATCATACAGTATTAAAGAATTAGAAAAAAAATCCCAGACATATGGATTGTAGCTGAATACAAAATCTCTGCATATGGGCTGTTTTGGCTCACTTCTATCTTTCTTGAATGACTGTGCATGTGCATCAGAATTCCTGATCAAATATATACGATATAATTATATGATCATACCATATCATACCCCCAACTGAAAATATATGGCTGTACACCCCCCCCCCCCCCCCCCCAGCTGAAATTGATTCCTGAATGTTCTGTTGATGAAGAACATTCATTTTCTGAATGTTCTGTTGATGAAGACCATTCATTTTAAAACCACGTAGATGAATCAGAATGTTGATTTAGTGTAATTGTCTTCATATTAGACATACATTTTCAATTTTCATTTGTAAACTTATTTATAAGAGATGATAAACGATATACAAGTACATGTATTAAAAATTGATGGAAGATATGAGATATTTTTTATGTAAACATTTTTATTTTCCAATATTTTTATATAAACTGTAATTCTTACAGGTTGTAGAATGAGAAGGCAGATCAAATTGTAAGAAAATAAAATAAAGTTTGTAAATTCCACAATTTATTATGTGGTCTGATAAGTGAAATTTTGTAACTATATATACACATACACAGAGCTATCTATGAGAGACTTTTATGACTCATACCCACAGGAATAACATTTCAGAAGGTGTACATGTATATTTTCAAGATAATAAATTTTAACTCAGTGTGGATCAAATTACATGGTTTGGGCAAAAAATATAATTTCATAACATTTACATATGTTTACTTTCATCTTGTAATACTATCATTATATAAATAATAAAAATCAAGGAATGTGGAAAAATAAGTGCAGTGGCGGATCCAGGAATCTTAAAGGGGGGGGACAAGTTAAGGGTTGGGATAGGGGCCCACAACAACACCTAAAAATACTGATTTATTAAATCATATTTTGAACACAAAAAGGCCCCCCTCTAAATCCACCAGTGAAATGTACCCAAAAAAGCACACTATTTTTTATTGTTTAAGTTCTGTGAAATTTGTTATAATTGACACCATTATTCAGTCACCTTCATCATAATCATGTTTAAGGAAAAGCTTGGAATTTTTTAGCAGTTTTACCATGTTTAATACTGTAAACACTCAATCCTAGGTGTGGCAATTTGAATATATATATATATATAATCGAGAGCTTCATATAAACATAAGGTTTGTGATAAATATAATGTTACCTTGCTGCAGGGAAGAAAATTATTTTTCATAT